TTTGGCATGGCTTCTTTCGAAGCAGTCACTCAATTGTTAACTGACATCTTCGTCGTGACAGTGGGCGATGATGCGCCATTTTACTTACCATTCTCATTTGAACAGGGAAAACGCGGGAAAACGGAGCACGTCTGCAAATAATTTACGGAAAATGATGTAAAACTTGCTTTGAAAACGTTCTGTTTCTCTCTGTTCATATACATGTTATATATGCATACATACATACATACATATCTATCTATCTATCTATCTATCTATCTATCTATCTATCTATCTATGAGTGCATAGATGTATATTGTATATATTTGAGCAGCACCTTTATTTTAAACATGTTTCGTAAAATCTAACAGACAAGGACACATGGCACAGTGGATAAAGGCGTTGGTTAGATCCATTAACAGGATCCAAAGAGTGTGAGTTCAATACCTGGTTAAGGCAGTGGAGAACTTGGAGAGGTGAATTAACGGGAGATAGCTGATAACTGAGATCCATTAAACATGGCACGTGGAACTAGAACAGTCTACCCCAGTGAGCGAAATAAAGGGTTCAGTTCGACATTCCAACCATCTGAAGAAGGCCGGAGCGTACAACGGCCGAAATGTTGTAATAAATATGGCGACAAAGATGAGGATAACAGTCCGAATAATGTAAATATTAGACAAGGAAGAGTGTATGAATTTCTTAAATTAATTTTTTAGTATTCTTAATTTTTCTTCCGTTTGGTGTGATCAAGGGCGTGTACAAATTATCCGTAATGTCTATTATCCCAAGCGCTTTCGGCCACTTCTTTAGCCATTTTCAAGGGATTTGTTGCTAATTGTTGTTAATTTCGCTTCATGGTTGTCTTTAAAAGATACATTGCATGATGCATATTGCACGATAGTAACGTTTATTCCAAGTCCAGCGTTCAAGTATGTTTACAATTTCCTACGATTTTAGGGAAATAATGCTCAGTATCGGAGTTAGTTGCTTTATAGATATACTAGCAGTAGAGCCCGGCGTTGCCCGGGGATATAACAGTAAGAGATAGATCAAGTATCCACCATCATAAAGACTGAAAAATAAAATTGACAAAGATTATTGTTTAAGGTTGACGGACACGCATGTCTTAATTAGTTTTTTTTTTACGAATTGGTCAAACCCAAACTCAAACAAAAACATTGTTTTCAGTCTCTACCGATTGAATAGAATTTTATTATAAACAATTGTCTTGTAAATGGAATTTTTAAAGCATTCTGAATGTAAAAATAAAGAAAAAAGTGTGCAAGACAATAAGAAACACTACATGCCAAAAGAAAAGTGAAGTTTTGTTGAAATCGGTTGAAAAATGTAGGTAGCCTTTCTGTAATCTTTTAGTTTTACAATTTATGATTTTTACTTATTGAATACAGTAAAAAAAATTGCATATTTTGCTTGTGGTGATTCATAATTAGAATTCTGATTTGAATATATTTTTCACTCGTTGTTTCTAATACAAAAAAATGTTAACTTTAATTGGGTTTATTAATTATGATCTAACAAATCTTATTCATTTAGTAGCCTTTCTGTAATAATAATCTTTTACAATTTATGATTTTTACTTATTGAATACAGTAAAAAAAAATTGGACACCATGTGTATTTAAAGTAGTTTCCGGTTATTATTTTTAGTTAGGAGGACTTGTGTATGTTTAGATTTCATTATCTTTCCCATAAGATAAAGAATTATCCGATGTTTGGATTCGTACAATCAGTAGAGATCGTTAGATTATTGTTTAAGGTTGACGTACACGCATGTCTTAATTATTTTTTTTATTTTTTTTACGAATTGGTCAAACCCAAAATCAAACAAAAACTTTGTTTTCAATCGTTATGAATCTCCCGATTGAACAGAATTTTATTATAAACAATTGTCTTGTAAATGGAATTTTTAAAGCATTCTGAATATTAAAAATAAAGAAAAAAGTGTGCAAGAGAATAAGAAACAAAAAAAAAGTGAATTTTTGTTTTATCGGCTGAAAAATATAGGAAATCCGATCCCATATATAAAGGAATACACACTCACAAACAACCTGGGTTTTTAACCCGATGTGAGTTGTCCCCCTTTCATTCACACGATGTCTCTTAATCGTGTTTTCAAATTGATTTTGTGCAAAAACAATTGTATTTTTCCCATTTTTGGCGCTGTTATAATCACCACAAGGTAATTTTATGTCGTCCTGTGAAGTTTTGTTGAAATCGGTTGAAAAATGTAGGAAATCCGATCCAATATATAAACGTTACAGACACACACACACATACACATACACACACACAAACAAACACACACAATCTGCGTTTTATAATAAGTAAGATTATGGACAAATAAACCAACACTACATAGTCACCAACAGTTTTAAGCGCCAGTGTGATTTTCAGACAAGTTGATACTACTAATTTATATATAGGTCACTGGAAGATTCAGGGAAGTAGGAAATCGGAAGTTTCAATTGTTTTCTTTTAGTGCTAATGGTAATAGTAATATTAGCATTTCCCTTATAAGGAAACATTCAGAATTCAGTGACTGAACAGGCATTGTTACTCGAGTTACACTTGTCTTCACTCCCTGGATATCGGGATGAGATGAAAGTGGAGTAACTGTTCTCCTCACTTTTAATGGTAATGCTAATATTAGCCCGGATGTATTCATCAAGTAGCCAGCAGTACAATCTTTTATAATTTATAAAATCTTTCTAGTAAAACAATTCTTTTAGGAAAATAGTTTTCTGAAGCCTAGTATCTGTTATCGTTCTTTCAATTATTGATGGGGGTTTCCTTTTTTTTTTTTAAGGCGTATGTAAGGTCAGTATTTTGGTTAAGACATTGGTTAAGACATTATTTTAACATAGGGTAAGATGAGCTGTCGATTTTAGTTGTTGTTGCTATTCAAAATCCTCAAATGATGTGTGTCATTTGTTACAGTTCTTTGTGATTCTGAAACGCAAATTTGCGAGGTCTGACGAAGAATAGTCCTTAGCGCAGTAGCCCAAAGTTATTTTTAACCATTTATCTGAGAAAGCGGTTGTCTAAAGCTGTCAGCTTAGAACATTTCTGGACGTGTTTAACGCCATGCAAGGCATCCATATGAAAGTCTTGATCTGACGAGGCTATTTAAGAACATGACTCGATTTTTTTCTGTCTTTGCAGGAAAGGGTTATTTATAGTAATGACATCTAGATTGCTAATTTATTTATTTATTATTAAGTCTTTATATATATATATATATATATATATATATATATATATATATATATATATCCCATAACACATAGGGTCGTAGGGCACCATGTACACTGCAGCCGCAATAGAAGATAACCTGACGGGGTACAACCCCTCCAGACCGATTTTGAATTTTTCAAGTAGAACTTTTCCTTCTCCTAGACCGATTGCCACCATGTCCTGCTCTCTCTCTACACACACACATACACACACACATAAACACAAACACACACATATATATATACATATATATATATTTACTGCTTATTATGTTATATATATATATATATATATATATATATATATATATATATATATATATATATATATATATAGATAGATACACCTAGTGAGCCAGACAAACCTACCTAGGTTTCACCCTAAACGGATCGTCAGGGAAAGTTTGGCTAACGAGGCAAAGAGAAACCCATATTTATAGGTGACAAAAAAAAAACCTAAGTGGGGTGGGGTAAATATTTATTCAACAAAAAAAAAAAAAAAAAAAATTCCTAAGTGGAAAGTCAATAACGGGAAAACGTCTAATTTAGTAGCCAAGATTTTTTATGTCTACATACATTAAGAATTTCAGTTTTAGAGTTTAATAGCTGGTTAGGTTGATCATATAAAGCTATGTCTAATTTCTCCTCAGCACATAATTTGCAAAATTTATGGCCTGCTTTATATTTTGGGCATTTTTTTAATATTTCCCATTTAAGGATGGGGTCTATATTATTTTCTTGTTTGGTTTTCCATACGTAGGTAGATAGCGTGGTACTATGTTTAATTTTTGCGTTCTTAAAACTACTCGTGTGGTTATAATATCTTTTTTTAAATTTATCCTGAGTAGCACCTATGTATGTTTTAGGGTTAGTATCCTCAGTATTTTTGTAAATTTTCACTTGATACACCACGCATTCTTGCTGGCATTTTCCCTGTAATGGACAGATGTTTTTGTTTCTACAATTACAAATAGGAGGATTCCGAGTAATGTTGTGGTTGTCTATATATTCTAATTTATTTTTATGTCCACTCTTAATTAGGGCTTGCTCATAACTTATTTTGTTGGCCTCAAAAATGTCCCTATTGGAGGAATTAGTAGAAAGCCTATACCCAATATTTTTAGAAATATGCCTTATAATATGGGCTGGGTGATTTGATTTTATGTGTAAATACTGGGGTTCTTGATTTTCTTTTTTATACGGGGATATTGTGCCATTTTGTAAATTCAACGTAATATCTAGATAGTTGGTGATTTTTAAATTGGTTTCTACATCGAGATAAAATCCAAATTTTTATATTTTTGTTGAATAAATATTTACCCCCCCCCCACTTAGTTTTTTTTTTGTCACGTGGTATGATTTTAGCTATCACCTATAAATATGGGTTTCTCTTTGCCTCGTTAGACAAACTTTCCCTGACGATCCGTTTAGGTGAAACCTAGGTAGGTTTGTCTGGCTCACTAGGTGTATCTAGGTCTGCTCTACGGTTGTATTGAGCGCTTTTGTTAGTTGTTTACTCGTATCGGGGTTTTTTCTTTGGGCTTCAGACCTGCATCTGTGCGATTTTTTTGTCGGCAGAAGTTCATGTTTGTAGCTCTTTCTTTTTTAAAAACCTTTTTTTCCCTCGAGGTTGATTTGATTAGCAAATCAAAAAATTCGAGGGTTTTTCGAAACGAGTCTATCTATCTATCTATCTATCTATCTATCTATCTATCTATATATATATATATATATATATATATATATATATATATATATATATTCC